TGCCTATAACTGATTGGAATACCTAAATTGGGTTGGGGGGATACAACATGCCCAGTGAAGGAGACTTCCTGCGGAGCCTCTGCAATACATAAGACTAGGTGGAATCCTGAACAGCATCCAGAATCTTCAGAGGTGGAAAATTTCTACTTGAAAGGATGGGCAGACCAGCCTGGAGCATCTAGAAGAACAGAAGATATTTCTTGAAAGAAAGACCGACAGGAAAAGTACAAAACAATATAGGCAGACTGACTGATTACTACAAGAACAAGCAAGTTGCTCGCCCAGGAGACATCAAGGCAAGTGATCAGGTCCTCTTCCAAGACTGAAGAAAGAAGAGGAAAAAAAGAGTAATCTGATACAATTTGATGAACTTGACCTACACCTATGGAAGCAGTAGCTCAAAAGAGGGAACACATCTTTACAACAAGAATCATTCCCACCCCCTCCATACACAGAGTAGACGGGGATGGGCAACTTGGACATTGGCAACCCAAAGTTTGGGGGTGGCTACAAAGGCAAGAAGTGACTGGCTTACAAGCTTACAAGAGGGAACCTAAATCTAGAGGGCGTGGAGAAATGTAGACTCTCCACTGAGTAATATCCAGTCTGTCTAGGCGGGGCTGATGAAAGGAAATGCAGATAGGTTTCTTGTGATACAATAGTGAATAATTGTTATCCGGACTGATTGTGAGGGTTGGAAATGTAAAGGTAGATATTTTGTAGCAAGGAGGGGAGTGATTAACTTTACAGTCTAAGAGCCGCGGTTCCTGGGACCATCAAGGGAGGAGAGCGGGACCCTACCCTGAGAAGCAGTGATGCCTGAGATGGAGGCAGAGATGATGATACGGAGAGATGGAGCAGCTGGGGACTTTAGACCCAGAGAGGGAGAGGGACTGTGTGCTGACAACGGGGAGGGGATTGTAACCCTGGCAATGAGATGATATACGATAGGATGGATGTAAAGCTAATGTTCTCCCATGTAAACTATCATATAATTTACAATAAAAGTTAAAAACAAAAGCCGTCTACTAACATACCACTGATGTCTGTAGAGCTTTGACCCCATTAAATTTTCATAAAGCTCCAGTGAATTCACCATCTTGCCCAATCTTCCCCATAAATTTAATGTTTGTTATTGCTTTAGTTTGAGCAGAATTCATGTAGCTCTAATAAGGGCTGCTCTTTTCAAAACTGATGTATTATCCTTCTTAGTGCCGTAAACTAGATCCTGTTCAGATATGTTAACAAGCTAGTATTAAGTGTGTTTTTGCCCAAAAAAATTGAAATCTGCACATTGTTTTTTCAGAATACACATTTTCCATGAACCGTTTTTGAAGGCCATTCCTATACTTTTATACTGTTTATGGTGGTGGTGTGCTATGGAGTCAGTTCCAACTCTTAGCCACCCTGTATAGGGTTTCCAAAGCTATAAATCATTAGAGGAGCAGAAAGTCTTGTCTTTCTCCTGCAGAACAGCTGGTAGTTTCAAACTACTGACCTTGAGGTTAGCAGCCTGACTTGTAACCACTATGCTACACATAATAATATATAACAGATCTGTACAAGCCCCTTGGATAGAAAATCCTTACCTCCCTCATCCAAAGCAGCATAATTTATACTGGGGGCAGGAGCTTCATTTGAAGACTGTGTATCACAGTCAAAAATTTTGAAAACCACCCTTCAATATTACAATGTAGAATTACCTCAAAGTATTTCATCAAATGGCCTTAACCAATTCCAGGCTGGGCGTTTAGATTGCTTTCAGTTCTTCACAAAATTCTACTTCATTTGAAATTTATCTTAGAGAAATAAAAATCAACTCTTTTTGCTCCCTAAATTGACCTCGTGATTCCTGGGCGTGGTTTACAAGGCTAACTAAGTAAGAGCAGGTCAGCTGTAGCCTAGGGCCAGGGTTTCCCTTTTGTGCTCTGCCATCCTGGGTATCATCCCTTGCAATCCAGCCCATGTATGAAGTTTATCTTTTACCCTCAGCTCATTTTTCTGGCCAATATCTTATTGTGTTTTCTTAGAATCAAGCATTCCCACGTGCCATGGGGAACTGAGGCATTGGAAGAAGGGACACTACACACTAATCCATGACAACAGCAAGATGGAATTTGCCCTGGACTTGCTTCTCTACTGTGGCTGTGAAGGTAAGAGAGAGAAAGGGAGGCAGGGGAAATCCCTTTGCAGGAGGGGTGGTTGCTTCTGAGTGTCCGTCTCCATCTGAACCAATATCTCAGAACACAGGATCTCAGAAATGGGAAGGATCTTGGGGATCCTGGATTTCAGTCTCACAACTCAAGAGTAGGATTTTTATCTGTCGCTAGGAACTCTGGTAGCGTAGTGGTTACACATCAGGATGCTAATCTCATGGTCAGCAGTTCAAAACTACCAGCTGTTCCGCGGGAGAAAGATGAAGCTTTCTGCTCCTGTAAAGATTTACAACCTCGGAAACCGTGTATAGATGGGGTGGGTGTGAGTCGGAACCGACTCGACAGCACATAACAACAACAACAGGGTATAACTTTCCCTTAAATAACCCCCATATCTACAGCTTCTATGTAATTGGCTTTCTGAATGTGTTTTATACTTAATTCTTCCTTAATTTTCAGTTCTTATTCAGTGTTGATTGAACTAAGCCCAAACCCTACTTCAGCTGTCTGAGGGAAGTAGGCCTTTAGGGGAAAGGAGATCCGTGGTAAGCCAGATGGTAAATTTAGGCTCACAACTCATAGCGTGGTTGCTACTAAACTCCTGGCTCACCCCGATTTAAGCTGCAAGAGAGCAGTGATTAAGCACATGATGTAACTTTTGCCATGAGAGCATTCTGAATGTTATTTGTTTTCCACTCTTAAGGCTGGGAGCCAGAATATGGCGGCTTTACTTCCTATATTGCCAAAGGTGAAGATGAAGAGGTGAGTTGCTTCTGAGAGTTCTTGAGGAAGCTTTCGTTTCTCACAGATCCAAGTTTTATGGCTTTCTGTTAGTATCTTTGGCTGATAATTCCATGTTGAGTTGCCCGGCACTAGTTTAATTTCTAGCAGGAAATACTCAGCATGGAATAAAGATGCAGAAGGAGAAAGTAAATCAGCAAGCCTTCATTCTGCCAGGTCCTATTGAAAATTTCCAAATCAATTCAGAGCCACACCATACCTTCCCATCAATCTGTTAGGTTACAAGAAATCAATTCATTAGGCAAAATCTTTCTGGGTATGTGCTGAATTGGGGCTTGTAGGAAACATGTTTGAAGAGCAAAAGCTATTTCCTAGTAAAGACTTTCACAGGGTTCTCTAATCCAGCCTGAGTACTTGATGTGGAAACCACCTGTGCAGGGTTAGTCACTTGCAGAAACAGCACAGGTAAACTGTGTTCTGATGGGCCTTGTCTTTGCCTATTGCAGCTGCTGACCGTGAATCCGGAAAACAATTCTTTGGCCTTGGTCTACAGAGATAGAGAGACTCTGAAATTTGTCAAGCATATTAACCATCGAAGCTTAGAACAAAAGAAAACCTTCCCACACAGAACAGGTTTCTGGGACTTTTCATTTGTGTATTATGAATGACAGGGTTGGACAAAGTCACCCTTCATCAGTACTTGGAGGTCTCGAAGCACTCAGCGTGGGGTGAAGAAGATCTACTCTGTGTTCTTAAAATTGTTTCAGGTGTCCTTTAATAGGATTCCGAAGGATTACCCTCAATTGAGACCTTGTGTTTGGAGCTGGGTACTTATCTCTGTATTTTAAAAGTTTCTGTTAACTTTCAGCTCTTCATTCTATATTGACTATTTGGTGATAACTTCAGTGGTTGGTGTTTTTTTAACTCACAAGTACCATGACTGATGATTCTGCCCTTCCCAACTACACTGGTTGATAATATGACAGAACCTTCCATCCTGTTCTTGCTGGGTCCTCGAGTTCTCACGTGATGTGTGCATCATTATTCTTCCTCCCACGGCCTCTGGCTCGGCTCCACTGTGCCTCACACAGCACATGGTGGACTTAGATGGTACTGCTGGAATAGTATTCTCGTGGAAAGGAACTGCCTAAGAAACCACATGGCCCCAAGACATTGCTGGTGGGTGAGGAAGAGACAGGTCCTGCCACATGTCATTCCTGTGCCTGCTGTCGAACTGACACTAGGCTCACATGTGGCTTTCTTTTTCCTGAATAGTGTAGGGTCAGTTATAAATCGAGTTGCTTTTTTTTTTCATAATACAAGGAGACTTCAAAATGTTCGTGAAAAATGAAATTAAAAGAAAATGCAGTTTTTCTACGAACTTTTGAAGCTCCCATATATGGAACTTATACTACAAAGCCACATTGAAATGCCAAGAGACCATCCATTTTCTCACAGCTTTTTTCCTGAACAGATCCAGGGTTTATGTGGGTATAGGTATCACAGCGTCTTTCATTGAAAGACGCTGCTCGATGTCAAGTAGATCTCAATCCATCCCAAAACTCTCTCCCTGGGTCCTTTCTCTTTTTTATACTTCTAGGCATTACAGTAGCTTTTAGTTTGGGTTTTATTGATTACCAAGAAAAGCACTGAGCATTTAAATTCCTTACCAGCCTTCTCTCTTGTTTCCTAAAACTTCAAGTACTAATTCTTTTCTAAAGTTTACATTTAAATGAAAAGAATGAGCTTCATTTCAACCTTTTAGATTGATATTTTCCAAATTTTTTTATCATGCACTCCATCAGTAAAAAGTGCTTTAGCATGTACCCCACCATATATGGCTATTTTATTTATAAACTGTACAAACACTAACTTTGAATGGATGAGATGAAAAGAAATAGCCCTACCTAGCTCTGAGGTTATCTTCCCACACCCTAATGGACCATTATACACACATCCTATTTTGAAGATCCCAGTTTCATCCCAGTGTAGTGGCACTGCAGTGGGATTGTAAATACTTGGTTAGTAATGGGTGAAATCACAAAGCTTGCCTTTTACCTTTCTGCAAATTCAAGGCCAACACTCAATCACTTATCTTCTGGCATGTTCTCAGGAGTGGGAGACAAGGGTAGGTTATAGTTAACACCCTGCTCATGGCATACGATACCAGAAAGGCCCAGGGAACGTGTGGGGCTGATGAAAAACCATCATGGGAAACCGCTTTGAGACTTATGGCTCGAAGTAACATCTAAGCAAACTTCCAGTGTTGGAGAGCTGAGTTCAAATCTTAGCACACTTCACAGATATTAAAATGCTCCCCTCTACCTCAGTGTGCTGTGGTCTGTCAGCTCAGCAGGACCCTCTATGCATCAACTAGGGATTTGGCACCTGAGGGGAGAGAAGTCCTAAGAGCTGACTCTGCACTGCTCTCAGCTGCATCAGCTTCAGCCCTTCTAACTAGGGGATGCTGGGACTTCAGGTCACTTTCTACACCAATGGTGCAGTGGCTGAGACACAGCTATTCCTTGGTACTTCGTTTTTCATCTTGATTGGGATTTTTTAGGACCTAGGTCAATGTCAGCAACTGTCAAATGGTGAAAAGAGAATTAAACATGAGCATTTTATTTCTACCTTCCAGGTAGAAATGATGATGTTCATTTTTATTAGGAAATGGCATTTTTCCCTGAATTTTTAGTGAACCTCTAAGCAATTTTAACTCCCTTTATAGAAGAGATTTTTTTTTTCATTGTAAAGAGGATAACTTCTTTTTCTAAATTATATTTATTATTGTGAAGAATTCAACATGTACAAATAGAAACTTAAAGTCACCTGGATACCCCACTGTCCATCCAGGACAACAACTGTGGTAGCTTTGCAATGGGTTATTTTGGCTAGACTGAACTATGTTTCCCCAAATCCCCATTCCTGTGTGAATCGCAAATTCTTGTGCAAGATTTAGAGGGCCAAGAGACGCAGCAGCCATTGTGTGGCACGCACACACTAACTTCTCTGCTGGCCCAGCCCCTGACTTGAGGTAGGAGCTGCAGCGGTAGCTGTCCCACCTCGCCCTCCGTCTTCTACATCTCCAGCTTTGAAGTCAGGTGTAATGGTTTACTTCTGTGATGAAGAGGCTCAGCTTCTGTGAGACACTCACACCATCAAGGTCAAGGGCAACAGCAACTGACACGGGCTTCAGCGCCCTTCCTCATGCCTGTGGGTTCCAGTGTGTTCTTGTCTTGGCTTGTCTTCTCTACCTTAGTGTCTGTACTGTGTGCTTCAAGCTCCAGCAGCAAACCTGGAGACAGCAGCTGTTCGGAGACTGCTCCCCCAGCTCCCACAGCTATCTCAGGTCAGTCATAATAGAAATAAACAACGTTTTCATTAAGTCTCTTTGTGAACAGATTTCTTTTCTTAGGAAGAAAAATAAAATGCTTAAGAAAGAATCCTACAAATAATCTGAGTCCCCAGTTCCAAAGATGTGATTTCAGAAATGAAACCTGAGAAGGAAAATGCTGTTTGGTTTGAACCTGGCTGTTCTACAGCTTGAATGTTGCCTTTCTGACCCCTAGAAAACAGAAAGAAAAAAAAGCAAAGCTTGAGCTACCTCTCCCAGATCACTCATTCTGTAATCATGAGTTTTTGGCTACAGAATCTTCCACACCATCATTCGCTTACCCCTGATGTGGTGCTGTAGGATACGTACTGGGCTGTGAACCACAAGGTCAACGGTTCAAACCACACCAGCTGCTCCTCAGAAACCATATAAAGGGTCACTATGATTTGGAACTGACTCCATGGCACACCACCATCAGAGGCAAGCTCCCCAACACTGTGGTCCTTAATGATCCTACAAAAACAATTTCTTCTCTGATGCAGTCAGTCCACACCAACAGTTCTGAAAACAGCTTGGGAGCTGTCCATGCAGCACCACACACACAAATAGATGCCTGAGGAGCTAGTGCACACAGTGCAGGCAGGGGCCAGATGGCAAAGAGACACACTGCAAAACACCAGGCTGCAAAGGGTGTCTTACTGCGCTGCCGTTTCAACACAAAATGATTTGATTCTATCACCATGGAACTCTGGATTCCCAGGCACTTAACGACTTCTGATAAAAATTGACACATTAATATTAATGTTGAAAATAATTCATGTAAACACTTCTAGAGTTACATATGAGGGACTTCAAAAAGTTCACGGAAAAATGTCCTTTTAATTCTACTTTTCTACAAACGCTTGAAGTCCCTTTGTATACTTGTGAAGTTCCCAGTTGTTTGGTTCTGAACTGCTGCCAGGCTGACTGGTTAGACCACCCAGAGACAGCAGATGCTCTTGCAGGCTTCCTGTGCTGGAGGCTTTGGCCGAGCTGTACTGTAGGAGGGATGAAGCTCATACGCTGTCCCTGTCCTCACCTAAGGGGGGTTAAGATTTATATAAATAATCTTAGAGGTCAGAATGTAATGAGGGTTAAAGAGTAGTAAATACTGCAGAGGAAAGAAAGGTCCCTGTGGAGGTATACAAATAACAAAACCCGTGTCCTCCTAAAATAGCAACTGCCTGAATTTTATTAGAAGAGGGTCTCTAAATTGTTTTAAGGGCACAGACTCACAATGACTACAATGCTCAGATATCTGAATCCTTGTAGTCAATTTTAAATGAAGGCTGGGTACCCAGTTCACTTATTAAAGACTCAAAGACAGCAATGATAAGGGGCTTAGCTGTAGTCTCTAGAAGTTCAGATTCCATCAGTGTAGAAAAACAGGGCAACAAAATAGACAAGTACTGGTAAAGTCACTATTCTGTGTGTAACGTTGTTCTCATTCTTAACGCTGGACGTGGATGACCCCTGTTCATCCCCAATTACCAACTGAGGAAAAATAGGGAAAGGTCTTATATTTCCTCTTCTCCCAGCTTTACTTATGTGGGAACAAGAAAGGAGCACCAAGGACCATGACCACTTGGTTTCCTCTCTCCACACCACCATCTACCAGATGGGACCGCTGCATGAGGTATTTTGCTTCTGACCTCAGAGGTATCATCTATGAAATAGATACTGATATCAACAAGATCAAATCAATGTGGAAGTAAGCTCTCTGTAACTTATAAAACAGAACAATTTAAACATACTGTACTTAACCTCTTTAAGTCTTGCCATGAATATTTTGGGTCTAACAAGGACATTTTTGCCTAAAAACCAATAAGAATAACCTTTAATGAGATTAGATTGCCTAAAAATGGTGCCAGACTGATGGTCAAGCTGGTGAACCAGGCATATGAACTATTACCGAGACCCTTGGACACACTGGCAATCCTGGCGCCCTGAGCTTTAAGGGAAAGGATAAAGTAGATCAAGTACCAATAAGAGGGCACTCAAGTAATTTCTAATGGACAGCAACCTGAACCAACCCTACGGTACTTAACAACAGGGTTTCCAGGAATCCTGGTATGGCTCTGTAGGTTAAGCACTGGACTACAAGGTCAGTTTGAACCACAAAGTTGGTGGTTCAAACTCACCAACTGCTCCTCTGAAATTGTATACAGGTATTGACTCAACAGTACTTAACAACAACACAGGGTTTCCAAGGAGCATCTTGTGGATTTGAACTGCAAACCTTTGGTTTGCAGCCCAGTGCTTACCCTACAGCACCACTAGGACTCCATAAGAGAC